CCTAATTTCGATCTCTCGCCATCCCCACTCACTTTCTCCCTCCCCCCTCTCGCGTGTGAGCTTGCGCCGCCCTCAGCCTGGCTCGCTAGAAACTGTCGAACTGCCGATTCGGTAATTTCTAGCGAAGCGGCCGAGGGTTGCTTTAAGCTTCTTGCATATGCGAGCCATCCCACTGCGTTCGCAACCAAACACACATTTCGTGGACCAACTGGGCCTGGTTGCGATTTTGTGGGCAACCAAACACGCCATTGGCGAGGACTCTGAAGTCCCCTTTCCCCTTCTGTCCAAGGCCACGGTCCTCGGCTATCGATCGCCCATCAACCTTCGTTGCTCCTCCAACGACGACATGTAGTTCGTGTGCTGCGGCAGGGACGATGGCGGCATGGATGGGGGTTGCGGGTGCTGGCACATCCGTCACAACAGGAGAGGGGATTTTGACCCACCTGCGAGGGGTTTCTTCCCTTGCTCAGGCACAATCCGATGCTGCTCCCGTCGCTACATCGGATGCGGCACCGGCAGGGGCAATTTCATCGACTGCGGTTGCCGGCACATCCACCCTTGTTGGTTCGTTGTTCTGGGTTTGCTCTAGCGTTGTCCATGATTGCTCCACCTCCGGTGGCACCAGCTCCAACGGCGGTGAACACTGTATGTACAACACACATCTCTCTTTGTATATTCGATTTTTGGGCTGGTTAGGTTTTTGGGGCGGTTGTTTTGATTTGATTCGATTTAATCCAAGCGGTGAGGACTATGACCCGTTTAGTATTGCTAGTATTTCTAGGCTTACTAGGATTGCTAGGATCCGATTCAACTGATTGCTAGGATTGCTACGAACATAGTATATGTTCATGATTATGATTAGTGTAGGATTGGGTGCCTAGAATGTGCATGTCTATGATCAGTGTAGGCTAGGATTGGTATGTGTGCTTGCTATGTGTCCATGTGTATAATGTGCATGATCAATGCATTGATCAAGGAAACACACATTGCTATGATCAGTGCACTGATCAAGGAAACACACATTGCTATGACCAGTTCATTTGATCATACTAATGCACATTGCCACGATCAGTTCATTGATGTACACTGTAATGGTAGATAGTCCATTTTGCTATGCTACTGACCTGTGTCTTCCTAACTAACAAGGTGATGAAGACCGAGTGGGATGTCATCGGTGGTGGCGCCCTCCACCGAAAGTCTTGGAGGACGTGATCTGCGGATCGAGATGTCGGGGAGGAGGAAGCCGGTAGCGGCGGCGATGTCTCTGCTCATGCTTGGGCGCAGGCTAAAGCTTGAGCACAAGACAATAGAACCAGTGCCACACCAGTTCTACGTGTAGATCAAGAACGATGACGACCTCGCCTTCCTGGTTGTCCTAAAGGCTTTTCAGCCTGTCCCGAGGAGGTGGTTCTACATTCGGCTGTCTCGTGGCGTGCCGCTTGCCGCTGGCAAGTGGTGTAACTAATGGGTGCAGGTTCAGCAGTTGCGCAACAAGGTGGTGATGGTGCAGTGCTAGAGCAACTTCTGCTGGAAGGACCTCATGCTTGCCGGCGACATATTCGTAGTCAAGATCGTACCATTCTAATGTAGGTATCTGTGTAATTGCTAATGTGTTGTGTTAATTGTGTGTTTTATGTGATGTTAATGTGTTATGTGCTTGCTAGTGCTAAGATCACCATTTTTGAAAGGGGTGAGCAGAACAACACATTGCACACAACCAAACAATTGTGGTTTGCATTTGCTCACACTTACACTACACATGCCGTCCAAACAACACAACGGACACAAAATTGATCAACAGTGCGATGCAAGGGACCAAACGAAATAAATTGCACAACATGGCCCAGAGGTTGTTTATTCAGCCAAGCTAAGTCAGGCCATAGATGCAAGAGCACAAATTTTGATACAAGCAACCAAACAGGCACATAACGTTCCTCGCAATGGAACTATACCAGGATTCAGAATGTTTGCAAATGTTACACACTTCCCCTGCTCTTTTGTTGCTGATCAGTAGATGAACATCCACAAGATCAGTTTTTTTGTTTGTGCGAAAGCATCCTACCAAACTCAAGTTCAGATACTACAATGCTTTGACCATCATCCCCTCAAACTCTGATCTCATCGCTCTAAGTGCGGGGAGAAAAGTTCCATACGTTCAGTTACATGAATTCACCACATTACACTGGAGTGCACAACCTATAGCCGTGCTCACCCATTTCTCTTTGGCTCCGTTCTTCTGTTCTTCCTTGTTTTACATTGATCCTATTTCCGCCTGTCCTTGGCCCTTTTGAAAGTTTGCTTGCCCTTGTTCTTCCACTTCTGGTTGCCTCCGGGTGTCCGGGCCACCTGAATTTCCCTTACCTTACGCATCCTGCAATTTAACGGAGAGCCATGTTGTTCAGTTTCAGGAATTCTTAAATGAAAAAGATGCATTATCTACCAACTTTAGTACTTTAAATCCAGTGTATAAATTCAGTTTTCTTCTTTTCAGAGACTGGAGAACTTCTGATATGCTACAGGTTGAATCTATCCCCTCAAACTTCAAAAGTAGATGGTGATTCATTTGCTCGAATGCTGCGTCACAACCCAGCTCCAAACCAAGGAAAGGCTCTAGTCTATTTTACAGTATGGTTCTGTTGTTGTATAACAACCGATGAACTCTTCGATCTGGAGGCCATATGCAATTAATACACAAAAACTTTTACTGGCAGGTGACAACAAGACTCCAGTATCACTGCATGTGGATAGAAAAGGATGATGGGCTTACCTGTAGTTCTTGAGTTTTTGGTCAGATAACAGCTCATCAACCAAGGTCTGCTTCCTTTCATGCTTTGTCAACCTACTTGAGTAGAACTCAGATGCAGGCTCAATAACCGTTCCAACCTAAACCCATCATCAAAATATTCAGTTTGTTAACTACTGATGAGCATTCACAACTTTTCAATGGTATGGCCAAAATATTTAATAAAGCTCGCAATTAGACCACTTACTTGGAAATACTTCGGAAGAGCCTTGGATTTACCAGACCTCTTGAAATGCCTTTTAGGGTCCATTACATGCCTCAGCTGCAAAACATATGTCGAGCATATTGTGCTTAAGCCACCAAAACATAAAAACTCAAAGAATAAGTAGATGGCCCTGTCTAACATTGGGTTCAACATTTACATAGTATTTCAACTCACGATATTCGGTTCTTAAAAGTAACATAGTCCAACCAGATTGCAATACTATCAGATAAGCCTCCAAAGATGCTGCATGTTGACAAGCAAATGTGGTATGCTAAGTGTTCACTAAACCATACTCCCTCCATTCCGAAATCTAGTGCGCGTAGATTTTATCTCATATACCAATGCATGCGCTGGCAGTGCATTTTGGACGAGAAAGCCCCCAGCCTCCAATGCGAGTACTAGTAGTACTAGTACGTTGGCCTCGACGCTCCAAGGAGTACTAGTACTAGTACGATGGCCGCCTCCGTCTGCTGCTCGCGAGCGCCCACGACCAGCAAGCAAAGCCGGCAAGGGAAGCGGTCAAGCGGGTATACGAGCCAAGGATGCGGCGGCGCTAGCCATGCACGCGTTCAGGAGCAGCTGTGAAATCGGCATCTCCATTGGACCCAAGGTGGAACTGCTCACCGGTGCTGGAGAAGAAGACCGAGAAAGGGGCAGCCGGCACCAGAGGAAATCGATTGACGCCGGACGTGGATGCGGGCATGGACGTGGAGAAGCCGGCCGTGGACGCGCGACGTCAGGGTGCCGGTGACGGCCACGCGCGCTGCTCGCGAAACTCGGGGCACGCCTGCTGGGTGCGTTGGCGGCTGGTGGACGAGCTCCACGCGCGCGCCGAGCTCCCGCAGCTGGTGGCCCTGCTCCCCGGCGTCCGTAGGCTCGTGCTGGAGCTCCTTCTCCAGGATGCAGGCCAGGGGCACAGTGGCAATGGAGACACTAGCAGCAGATGCGACGATGCCGGAGGCCGGCCGTCGACGCGGAGGCGCCGGATGCGAACGCGACGACGTCGGATGTGGAGGCGGAGACACCGGTATCAGATGCGAGGACGCCGGAGGCTGGCCGTGGAAGCGAAGGCGTCGGATACGGACGCGACGACGCCAGATACGGAAGCGACGACACCGGATGTGCCGGCCGTGGACACAGCGACGCTGGAGGCAGACGCGGAGATGCCGGAGACGCCGGCCTCCATCTCCTGAAATCTCCGCCGCCGTGGAGTTGGAACCAGAGGGAGGGGATAAAGGCGAGCGTTGCGTGCGGGAATTCTGTTGCGGGGCTAGTTCCGTCCAAAAGCGTCGAAAGTAGTTAATACGCACTACATATTGGAATATCGACAAAAAAGTTACCCGCACTATATTGAGGAACGGAGGGAGTACATGCTTGCTTAATGATTAAATTTCATTCTATTGAGAGCAGACAAAACGAAAGCAGTAGTACTTTGTTTTAGGAGAAGCCTAGCTATCCTTAATACAGTACTCCCTCTGTAAAGAAATATAATAGCGTTTACATCACTACTTTCACTCAAGCACTACTGCACACTTACAAAATGGCTAATGCTTGCCCGTCAGGAATTCAGGATCACCTTCCTAAACTCTAAATTAAACAGGCGTTTTTTTTCTTCTGTTTTCCGAAGTTACATAACGGAGGCCCACACTGAATTACTACTACTGACAGCACACCTAAGTGTAAGACCATACCTGCAAAATCTCAAGGTCTTTCTTCAACTCGGGAGTGATGCTCGGCGCCGGCATGTCGAACCTGGAAAAAGACGCAGCAAATCATAAGCACCCACCCATTCAAGAACCCAGTAGAAAATTTTCCAATTCATAAGCGGGGCTCAACTCACCAGCCCTTGCCAGTGGTGTCCTTGACGCTCTTCCTCGCCATCTTGTTGACCTTCCTGGGGTCCCTCGGGGGCACGTAGAGCCCGTCAACGAGCTGGTTGCTGGGCTTCCAGAGGGACTCCTGCGCGTCAATGCTCGGGGTCGGCGCCGAGCCCTTCTTGCTGCCGCCGCCGGCCGCCGCCAGGGAAGGCAGCTGGGGCGCCCACGACAGGCCGATCGGCGCTGCCGCCGACGACGACATCGCTCTCTGAGCCTTTGTAAGCTTGGATAGCTGCTCCTTCTCTTGCCCCGGCGTTGTTGGGTTACGCGGCGGCGGCGGGGGCGGGCGGTGGAGGGGGAAGAGGAGGAAAATCAATGAGGCGGCGGGGTAGGAGGGGGGAGGGGACTAGGGCTAGAGACCTCCTATTTCCCGACCTACGCGGGGAACCCCTCGTCGCCCCTGCGCGCGCTTCGGCCCGGCCCATATGCGCGAGACGCGGCCCTTGTTTTTCTTTGTTTTGTTTTTCAAATTTTAAGAAATGTTCATGAACCACAAAATCGACAAAAACTGTTCAGGGTAAAAAAACGAATTTTAAAAAAGTTCAGTCATTTGAAAATATGTTATGAATTTCAAAAACTATTCTCATATTTCAAAACGTTCACGTTTGAAAAATATTCTCGGATTTAAAAAACAATCATGAATTCAGAAAATGGTCCGAATATCCAAAATATTTTCATGGACACAAAAATGGTTCACGAGTTTGAAAAATATGTTCCGGTATTTCCAAAAGTAGCTGTGAATTTGAAAAATCTTTTTTGGATTCCAAAAAAATATTTACAAATTCTAAAAATAATTCTTGGATTTTAAAAAACGTTCATGGATTATAAAAATGTTCTAAATTTCAAAAACAATATTAACAGTTCCCAAAAAATGTTAACAAATTGGAGAAGTGTTTCCCGATTTTTCAAAAAATGAAAATTGTTTGAATTTCAAAAATGTTTGTGAATTCAAAAAACATATTTGAAATTTTCATAAACTTTTTAAAAATTCAAAAGAAATGTCTGCTAGTTCCAAAAATTATTCCCAGATTTAAAGTTGGTCTCCGATCCAAAAATTGTTCGTGAATTTCAAAAATTGCTCCAAAATTTCAAAAATGTTCTCAGATTTAAAAAAATGTTCATCAATATGAAAAATATTCTCATATTTAGAATTTTTTTCAAGAATTTAAGAAATATCTTGTATTTAAAATAATTCATGAACACTAAATTGTTCATGAATTTGAATTTTATGTGTGACTTTCTAAAAAGGACATGATATTTAAAATACATTCACGGATTTGGGTAAACTTCACGAATTAAAAAAAACATAAGTTTGAAGAAAATCACGAATCTGAAAAAAATGAAAAATAAAAACCATCAAAGTCAAAGAGAAGACGAAAAAAAGAGAAAACCAAAGGAAAAGCAAAAATCAAAGAAAATCAAACATGTGGGAAAAAATGGAATGGGCTGGGCCACATAGAGGAAGGGATGCATGGGAGGGGAAACATTGCAAAGAGTCTAAAAGAGGTGAAAGAGCTATAAAGAACTCAGATAGGCTAGGATTCGTCTTTCTTTACCTTCAGAATCATTGGAATTTCCCATCTTTTTCAGCTCTGCTCCCGAAAAGAGAAAGGAAAGGAGACTAAGAAATATGCTATTTGCTACTATTCCATCTATTTGTGCATCAAGTCCGAAGAAGATGTGGAAAACACGGCACCCTATCCCTTCCCTGAAGTTTGAATTCATGAATCCCGTTTCTAGTGGCGAGTAACTACTACGAAAGGTACGGAAAACGGATCGGTCATCTAGCGTGGACTTCTGGTAGGTCACTATCTAGCAACCTGCACGTGAAATAGGAAGCTCCCAAGGGCTATAGGAGGAGATCCGCGGACGTGGGGTTTTTGGGACATGGCTTCGTAGATCTTCTTGAGGACATGGAATTAAAACTTCACGATTGTGGTGGGCCTATTTTCTGTCATGATCTCTTATTCACAGATGTCACCCTGTTGTTTTTCATGTCAAATGCTAAAATTCCCTCAAAATGTCAAATGCTAAAAAGAGCGGACGAAGTATCAAGCCTCTTGAATATTTACTCTTTGATTCGGAGATATATCTCTGATTTGGAAATTTTGACAAGCGAACAAACCTGCTTGTAACACCCCTATGTAAGGGTGCTACAGTAATCCATCATGATGATGCTAAGCTACTGAGATTTGCAATGATGATCAGGTTGGGATAATATCTCCTTCAAAATTCCTTCTCTGAATTCTATTCAATTTCAAAGTGCAAAATGAAGTTGATCAAAACTTGTTGGAAAAATGTTCACCTTTTAGCAAATAATCCGAAACTATTTGTTGTTAAGGAACACAACATCACCATCAACTCTAAAAGGGCCTAATGATTTTTTAACAGAGCCAAAACAACATTTTAAAATGCCCTATTCTTTTTGAATAAATCCACAGGGATTCAAAACATTCCCAACATTTTTGTGGCAGTAAGGATCAATGCATACTAACTATTGGGACCAACTACATATTTTACAAAATTCATTAGTGGCTAAAAGAAAATGCAAAAGCTGCAAAAAAAGAAAAGAAAAAGGAAAATCAGAGGAGAGAGAGAAAGCCCCCTGCCCTCTGGGCCTTAGCCCATTGCACTGGCCCAGCCCACCTTACCCCCCTTGTCTTCTTCCTGTAACGCCCCGAGACCGATGCTCGAGAAGACCTCCATATATTTCCGGGGTCCGTCGTGTGTTTTGTTTGGTTCTTTGCATTCATCATTACATCATGTGCATTGCATCATGTCTTCATGCCATCTTGTCATTTCTTTTTCTTAACTCAACCAAATAAAATCGGATGGATCTTCGGTCCATTTAAATCGAGGGATATTCACATGGTGAAATTCTCTTTATAACATATCTCCCAATATGTGTAGGGAGCTATATTAAATATTCCATTTTCGGAATCACCCACGAACACACGTGCAATAATTCCCCATGTCTATTCCTCTTCGTGTTTGACCTTCAAACCTTGCCAATATCTCTCATCTCTTTTATCGAGGCTCCTCCTAAAACCTCAACATTTTTGGAAACCTCTAATTCCTAGTCCTTGCTCAAACCTTTTGAATTAAATTCAAATGATTTTGAATTTAATTCCTGCAATCTTGCCACTCCTATTTTTCATGGACCGTGCACATTTTTACGAGTCCGTGGAAATTATCCCCGTGCCCAACTCTTTCTCTAACCTTTCTTTTCTTCCCTTTTTCTTTCTCTTTATTTTTCTGTTTTGAAAAGAGAATTAGAGAAAGAGAGAGAGAGAAGGAGCCCAGCAGCCTGGGCCTCCCAACCTCCCGCGCCGGCCCAAGGCCAAGGCCCAGCCGCCCCCACCAATCCCTCCTAACCCTAGCCCGAACCCCCCTGCCCGATCCCCCACTCTCCCTCGTCTCCTCCCTCGCGCCGTCACCACGCACGAGAGGAGCGCCTCGCCTGATCCCTTCTGCCTCCTCCTTGCTCAACCTCCTCCTTCCCTCGATCTCTCTCTCTCTCGTGCCCGACCCCCATCTTTCCCTCGCAGCCCGATCCCCACTCCTCTCTTCCACCTCGCGCTGCCCCTCTCCTCGCCCTTCCTCGCCCCGCACGCGAGACCTCCCCGACCACCGCATCCCTGCTCGCGCCCAGATCCCATCGCCGTCTGGCCCGTGGAGTCGTCCACTGCTCCGCTTCGCCGCCCGGCGCGTATCCCGCGCCTCCCGACCCGGTGCTCCCCTGCACATGCGCTCGAGGTCGCGGCTTCCTCGTACCGGTCCATGGGGGACTCGCCGGAGCCCAGCCGTTGGACCTGCGCCATCCTCTGCTTCCTCTACGGCGACCAGGGGCCCCATCGCGTCGCGCCCAGTTGCCACCAGCTTCTCCGGTGAGCCTCTGCCGCTCACCACCACCATCGTCTCCTTGCTGCCGCCGCCCCGAGGCCCCTTGTGATGTTTTGTGTTGGACCGTCAAGATCTGCAAGATCGACTACATGGACGCCAAGACCATACCAGGACCGCCAAGCATCTTCTCTGTGATTGTTTGCCAAGTACCACAACGACGCGTCAAGTACCTCTACCGTCGTCTCTGGAAACGTCAAGTACCCCTACGCACGAAGACGCCAAGTCCGTTTCGGGATTCATCAAGTACCACTACAGATGGCTCGAACGTCTACGAAACGTGTACCACTACCGTCCACCCGCGAAGACCCCGTGGACGTCAAGTTCCTTGTCATGACCCCGAACATCTACGAAACATGAACAATTACTTCCTCTTTGAAACGTGAACCACTACCGTCGCGAGAACGACTACTTCCCCTCCGAACCGATTCACTTCGAAAATGCACGCTTCGAAGGTATAACCCCGAGATGACTTTCCGAGAACGAATGTGGGTTGTATGAGATGCCCGTGTTTTGCACCATGTCCGAGTTGTTCCTTGCGCGTTCCTCATTGCCTTGCCGTCGACACGTGGGAACCTGGTAACCGGGATCACCCCACCATCTTGCATGGCACGCTCTCCGCACTTTCTTTTGCACCGACATCTCAATCGAGTTATCGGAACCGATATGTTGCCGTGGCATCATTTTCGGTATCGTTGTCGTGGCACCCCTTTTGTTTCCGCCACAGTGACCAATGCTTCTTATTGCTCTTGTCAACTTCAATAAAAATTGCATAAACTTGTCCATGTCATCCGCATCATGATAACAACTATTGAAATGTTTAAATTGTTGTTGCAATAAATTACTAAGGCATATGGGGATTTACCAGATTTGTTGTTTGTTATATCCGGCCCCATTTAAATGGTTTAGATGGTGTAGTTTTGTTATGCCCCACCTCTTGCCATGTTAACCAACATTTAATATTGTTGAGTACTTAAACGGGAGAGAACTAAATAATCGACGTGGTGTTTCATCAATATGCAACTCGTTGCATATTGAGCTCCACTTAATTTGTAGGATTGTTTGTGCACTTTGCCATGCCATGCCTCATTAACCCGGACATGCATCATACTCGATTGTGCATCATGCCATGTTGATGTGTTGGTTGTTTACTATGTGTGTGCTTTCTTTTCCGGTGTTTGCTTCTTCGGGTTGGTTCTGTTAACGTCGCGCTTGTGAGGATCCGTTCGTCTACGTCCGTTTATCTTCTTCATGGACTCGTTCTTCTTCCTTGCGGGATTTCAGGCAAGATGATCATACCCT